TGTGTGTGTGTGTGTGTGTGTGTGTGTGTGTGTGTGTGTGTATCTTTGAGTAGCACTCTGACTTTCATTTGGGACAGAACTTCATTTCCAGTGGGAATAATCTGATGATACTCAATTAAAGGCCCTTTGCATCTTAACTAAATTTGCACATCTTTGAATTTAGATTCTTTTTTTTTTATTTTTTATTTTTGAGACAAGGTCTCCCTATAGCCTCAGCTGGCCTGGAACTCTCTATATAGACCAGGGTGGCCTCAATCTCACAGAGGTCTGCCTGCCTCTGCCTTCTGAGTGCTGGGATTAAAAGTGTGCACCACCACACCCTGTGATTTAGATGTATTTTAAAGTCTTTCCCTTATGTAGATTACAGTCAGGCTTTTGATGCTTGTGGAGTGTCTCTTGCTTCTGAACCATACCCGTTTTGTACTCTCCTGCACTCCTTTTCTCTCCAGGAAACTTCCTAAATGGACTAGATCAGCTAGCTGTTCCTGCTCTGTAATTTCCTGATTGTTTTGGACATGGAAAGTTTTTGGGAAGATCAAAGTAAGGTCATATCTTTTAGTACCTTCTTATGAGACCAACATTGGGCTGGCTGTGATCAAAGACTGGGTTCTGATGGTAAAATATCAAGAATTGTCATGTTAAACATGCATTGCTGGTAAATCTTAGGATGATGGTAGAAGATTGGTGATGATGCAAAACCCTCAGAAAGTAAACCGCGTCAGTTAAGAACAAAACTGAGAAAATTTTGCTTCTGAATTTCTCTGAAACATCTGAACAGGCAGATGTGGAAGAGTTCCCATTCCTTCCCTATGTGGGGATCTAGCCCTCCTCTCCTTTAAGTACTTCAGTGGTTTAACTTGAGGCAGCTGCTTTAGTGGAAGTCCGAAGGTGGCTTTAGTCTAGCATTCTTGACGTTTTCCAGGATTGCTAAAAAATATACCCTATATGCTTTGGAAATAAATTGCCTTATAAAAATAGGGAATACTGTCTCTCCATTTAAAAAACATAATGAAGTTTTGCACATTTCACCAACATATTTTGATCATATTTAGATCCCTTCATATCTGCACCCCTATATATGTGTAGATATATATTTTAAGGCCTATAGAGTCATGTTTGTGATCCCAAATACTCTTCGGTGTGGTTTCATCCACTGGAGCCTGGTCAACCTACTAAGAGTCTCACCCTTAAATGAGACTGAATCTCACTTCCCAGCAGCCATTGGCTGCTAATAGTTCATTAGGAACTCTACTTCCCCATGTCTATGCTGAGATTTTGTCTGGCTTGCTTTATGTGAGATTTGTCCATGCTTGCACATTGCTGTGAGTTCATATGAGTAACTTCCCAGGTGTCTGGAAAACTCTGTTTCCTTGTAGTCCTCCACCTTCTCTGGATTTTATAGTCTTTCCACTCCCTCTTCTGCAATGATCTCTGAGCCTTGGGAGGCAGAAGTTTGATATGGGTGTCCTACTCAGAGATAAGCATTCTGCATCCTCTTATTCTCTCACATTGGCCAGTTGTGGTTCTCTGTGTTCATAACTATCTGCTGTATTAGAATGCTTCTCTGCTGAGAGTTGAGAGATGTGTGAATCTAGGGCACAACAATGTCATTAGCAATCAGTTTACTACTATATCTATTTAGCAGAATAGTTGTATTGGGCTCTCCCTGATGTCCTGTGACCTGTCTAGCATTAGGTTCCTAGACCTGGTGTCAGTGTCAGGTATGGGCTCTATTCTATGAAGCAGATCTTAAATCCAATGAGAAAGTAATTGGTTACTCCTATAATGTTCTTGTTACTATTGTACCAGCAGGCATCTCTTGCCAGGCCAGGTGTTGTAGCTCACAGGATTTATAGCTATGTAAGGCTCCTGCTGAATTTCCTCTTTTTGTTCCTTCATACCATATTCCAGCACTATGAAACCTAGGCAGTAGAGGTGAAGCTTTGAAGTCAGAACCAGGTTGATTTCTCCTTGTTTGTTCTACAGTTCATGTGTATAGTGTCTTCAACAACTGTGAAGTTTTGGTGGGCAGCCAAGAGCAGGCTCAATGCTAGTATTGTTGAGGATCTATGGGACCCCTGGTCAATAGCTTCAAAAGAGGGTGTCCATTCCTGGCATTGGGCTTTTACTTTGCTAATCTATAGTGTCTAGTAGGTACAATATCCCCCTGTTATAAGGTAACTCCTTTTAATCTCTTTATAACTATATACTTTAAGAAGCTTCTATTATGGTAGGTTTCCATATGGCTTTTTCTAAAGGCCTTTAGTGTTAGTTGTCCCTCCCCATACTCCCTTCTCTGCCCTTGTGCTGTGCTAGCAGGAATGTAAAATAGTACGCTTACTATGGAGAATAATGTGGAAGATCCTAAAAGTTGAAAACAGAACTGCTATATTATCAATTCAATTTTGGGGTATATATCCAAAAGGATTAAGATTTAGATCTTGGAGAGATATCTGCCTTGTTATTCACAATAGTCAAGATGTGGAAACAAGGTAAATGGCTACCAATGGATGAATGCCCAAGAAAATGTGGTACATAAACCTAATGGAATATTACCCACAGTGCCTTTGAAACAAAAGAAGTCTTACAGTATGTGACGGCATGCATGAGCTTGGAGACCATATGAATGAAGTAAGTCAGCCACAGAAGGGTTTATCCTGCAGGACTCCACTTAAATGAGATGTGCTAAGTAGATAAGCTCATCGGAACAGAGTAGAACAATGACTCTCAGAAACTGAGGGGAGGCAGACCTAGTGAATTGTTAGTCAGTGGATACCAGCTTTGACTAATACCTGATGAATCAGATCTGGAGCACTGCTATAAAACATTTCTTATATTAAAAATATTGTATTGAGGGCTAGAGACATGGCTCATCAGTTAAGAGCACTGACTACTCTTGCAGAGAACTTAGGTTCGATTCTCAGCACCCACATGGCAGCTATGAACCGTCTTTAACTCCAGTTCCAGGGGACCTGATACCTTCTTCTGACCTCTGTGGGCATTGCATGGCACAGGTACATTTACACACATGCAGGCAATACACACATACACATAAGATAAAAATAAAAATTACTGTATTGTGCACTGAAAATTTGTTGAGAGTAAATATCATTAAGAGTACTTAGAAGCAATGAAAAAGAAAAGGGTTTACTTGGAAAAAATAAGTATGCTACACAATCTAGGAAAAGGTAAGTGTAAAGGAAAACATTGGAACAAATGACAAATTTTAAGTAAGATACTGAATTACAGAACAGTAATGTACCCAGTTAGATTTTTCCTTAAATTTTGGTAATTGTGTGGTGGTTGTGTAAGAGATGTTCTTAAGTTATGATATCTATAATTTCTTCTCAAATGGAAAGTATTTTAGAAAAAAGTAATGAGTATAAACGTGTCCATGTAGTAAAAATGTAAAATAATAGACATGCAAAAGTTTAATACTTATTGATTGGTGTAAAGGGTGTATTGGAGTTCTTTATATCATTCATGCAACTTGAATATAGTTTTTAAATTATATTTAAATAAAGAGCAAAATGTAAAAGAAATATACTTAGCAAAGACCTTGCCATTCTCTGTTATTAGGAGCCTACAAGTAAGTATGAGTTGTGTTTTGAGTCAGGGATATGAAATATAATCAAACAAGGTTGAATCCGTTGAACTGCATACAACTTATTTGGGATTCCAGATTTAATGTGTTGGCCTAATCACTTGACAGAGGCATGGCTGATTTGCTCCATCGGCTGATCTTAATGCACATCAAAAGTTGGCTTACAGTTTGTGAGGTTAAATTGACAGCAGCCCCATTCCTGCATACTGAAGAGGCAGGTGTCAAAGAATGGCAACGTAGGTCTAGCTCTACCAGGTACAACCTGTCCTGTTGTCCGTAAGCATACCCTCTGGGAAAGCATGGACTGATTCTCTTCATGGAAGCAGGGTGTCCTCGTTACTTTTTTGTTGCTATGGTAAACACCATGCCCAAAAGTAACTTGGGAAGGACAGGGTTTATTTGGCTTACAGCTTATAGTCTATCATCAAGAGAAGCCAAGACAGGAACTCAAGGCAGGAACCTGGAGGCAGGAACTATAGCAGAGAGCATGTAGAAAGGCTGCTTACTGCCTTGCT